TCTCCTCTCTCTCTCTCTCTCTCTCTCTCTCTCGGTGGGTGGTTGGAGGGTGCTCTGGTGTGGTTTGCTCCTTCTTTCCTATCAAACACCTATCGCTCTTTAAATCTCCCCTCACTTCTTTTTTTTATGGTTGTTACTCCCTTGTAACACCTCTAATCTTCGGCATTTATATGACCTTATTGTGTTGCAAGTGCCGTGAAACTCTTAGGAATAAAAGATTTAAAAAACTCACTACGAGGGTCGACAGTACCGGCGAAGGCACGGTTGTCTTCCAGATTTGCACGTTTTATTCACATTTGATGGAATCGGGTAACAAGGTAAGAGCACACTTTTCCCGGATTCGGTTAACTAAGACACGGTCAGAATTAATTTCATCCCTCACCTTTAAATGATTGCCCGAATCCAACAAAATGTGAATAACACGTGTACATCTCTGGAAGATTCCTCGGTGAAGTCACTACAGTAACTAACTGTAACCATACATCTGCCTCGATCAAATTAATCAACGAATTCCCAGCAGTACTATAAATAGTATGCTAAGCAACGTATCCAGGCCTGCACTTGACACCTCGCAACCCTATTCTTTTTTTTCTTTACTTTCTTTAGGATGTATAACCTTCACAAAAAGACAAGTGAAGCGTGAACATTTCTTGGAATGTTTAGCTCGGCTACTGAATCATGACACACATAATTACGTAATCTCCAAATGTGTTGCAGAGCAAATCAGCTGACGATTTTCAGGAAAGTTCTAAGTCGGAGGGAAAACTTTTCACAATTTCCCGGTTTATTTAAGGAGCCTGCTTTATGTTCTTATTGTCCTACAGAAAGAGCTTTTATTTTGCTAACAACATGTTTGGTTATTTAAGTGATACAGTTTAGATTTTTCGCCTGATGTTTCATCGAAAGGTGTAGATCCTGCCTAATTATCTTCAGCAACAGGTATCAGGTATGTAGAGCAAGCCAGGACATAACATTACAATGTACATTCATGCGTTTCATTTTGTTACCTAGATACACCTTAAAATGCGATGAAATTATGAATGAACTCTTTATCTCACAGTCTGATTTAAGAATGTCAGTCACAGGCGTGGTTTTTGTCAGTTTTGACCTTCTATCTCTGTTGAAGGAGTGGACACCTTAACGTAGGATAAGAAAACAGAAAAAACGAAAGCACATTACATATGATACTTTTCTCTTACCCATTGGGAATTGTTTTTTCATTAAAATAACTGTCGTACCAGGCTGAACTATAAGGTTACATTACATTACCGGTCTGTCCAAATACGTGACCAAAACTAAACAGCTGATTTCGAGAATCGTTTGGTGGAATTCGCAGAAATTTTGCTTAGCAGTTACTTTAAAATTCACTGACCTAAAGATCTTGTACGATTAAATGAATAAAAATAAATGGCTCAGTTTCCAGGATTGTTTCTTCCTATTCATATAAACCGTGAAGATGAATTACATGAGTTTGTACTGACGCCTGGTGTGCAGTAATGCTATAATTAAGGCGCTTAATTTCTGCATGCTGGAGACCTGAGTTCGATTCCCGAGCAGGGAAAATTTTTTAATGAGTACCTCGGTCCTTCTGCTGGAATGTTATATCCTTCTCTGTCCGGGTTGGGCCTGACAAGCCCGCCCCCTTAATGATCTCAATTGTGTTAGCGGTGACGTTAAAAACTCGTACATTAAAGAAAAAGAGTTTCACGTGTATCTGTGAACCACAATATCGAAAGTAACCAGTAAAGTTTTGGCGCTCGGCGCACCAGGTCAAACACATTGAGGATTGTATAGAAACACTGGTTGTGTTAAGTTACGTGTGCTGAAGTTTACAAACTGTTTACCCCTGTGACACTTACGTTATTTTCTACAAACATATTTTTTCAACGTTTTTCGATGTTGTTCATCCTTTACATTTTTTAGGCTGCCAACCGGGTACCTTAAACCTTTGAAAAGTTTGTTTAAGGTCACTAATTGGCTTTTATTTTATTTTCATAGCCTTAATTTGCTATCTCAAAGAGAGATTTAAAAATCAGTTTCGTTCGGTCGTTTTTTTTTTTTGTTGTTGTTGTTGTTTGTGCAAGCATGCATCTATTGAATTCCATCTATTATGTATATTGCGTTGTTACAAAAGAATCTAGTTTCAAAGTTGGGCATGCAGGGAGTGTTAAATAATTTTTAAAAAAACAAAAACGATTACCTTTCTCAATCTTAAGATGTCTTTTATCAACAGCCCTTAAATTGTGAGATGGGATATATGCGGTATACCGGCTGTATATATAACGGACAGTGTTGAAAAGGGCATTGAATGTATGGAATAACTAATAACTAAACTAGCGACATGTTGTTTGATAGTTAATACAGTTCACTCCACCTAATTATTCCAGCCTTCAAGACTCAAGGCCAAAAGGGCTGCTGCATTCGTACTGCATACCGCCACCATTCGTCACCGCTGTTAATTACCGCGCTCTCCTGTACGTTTGCTGGGACCGAATGTATCATTGTATTCTCTATGTGTGTATGTGTGTGTGTGTGTGTGTTTGTGTGTGTGTGTGTGTGTGTGTGTGTGTGTGTG